TAGGGCCCCCCCCCCCCCAGTACAGGGCCTCCCGTACGGTGTCTAGCAAGCTTACCACTATCCCTCCAGGCCACCAGGAAACCATGGTAGGAATTGTTTGGGATCCACCCTCTCTAGGGACTTGTGCAGCATCAAGGTAAGGCAGAAACCAAGCAAGTTACCTTTGGGATGCGTCTTACTCCCTCCTTAGGGCTAGCAGCTCTCTGTGGTCACATGGGCAACGTTTTTTTTTTTTTTTTTTTTTTTTTACAGGATACGACGGTATTTTTCTGATATATTTAACTCCTTAGATGCTGCCATTATTGTGGTGACTCTACTGGTCAATATTGCTTATATTTTCTATGACTTTAAGGTTCTTAAAGATTTCCCCAAGTAAGAAACATATGCTTCCCTTCTCTTAAAGTTTTTCTTTCTTAAAAAATATTTTCTGTGGCTTTCATTTTGTGTAATCTTTTTAACTCTGAATGTGCTAATTCTGTGCTAAAAAAGCTGCTTAAAAATGAAACGTTGAGATAAATTTCCACATATCTGGAAACTAAAGGATGGTGGTGTTTAGGGACAAGTGAAGGGTGTCCACACTGAGTACCTTTAGTTGAATGAAGAAGATGACGCCCCCAAAGAAGAAACTGGGGACTTGCCTCTTGTCCTAACTTGAACTTCTCTACATTTTTGAAATTCCCACTAAATTCCCACTTGCGCTTCAACCACAAATTTCTTACACGTGAAATTCCTGGGTTTTTCCTATAACCAAGAGAGTACTGGTTTGAGTTGATGAAAAATTTGAGTGACTCCAATGATGATTCTCTAAAAAGGAACAAATGGAAGGGAAAAATGAGGTGACATGGGTAGAAACACAGAGGTACAATTTTTGCAGTATAGTTAACATGATGAAAGCTGAGGCAAAGTTAGAACTGTTAGGGATCAAACAAAAATGTGTATGAGAGACCGATGGCTTTTTTCTTTCTCCTCCTCTTTCTACTGTGGCAGTGAGAAGAAAAGGAGCAAAAGTGTTCTAGGATGTAGCTGTTGGGTGGCTCACTAGGCTTATTCCTTAGTCAGATAGCTTGCCACTTGCCGCACTCCAGCTTCTCGGGACTTTCCCTCAGGTCCCAACAAAACTTGATGTGACAAGCTTTTGGAGTTTTTGAAAATAACCAAAACCAGTGTGGTCTTCAGACAGGCAACCTCAGCATCACCGAAGAGCTTGTCAGAAATACAAGAAGAAAAACACCTCAGGGCCCGCTCTAGACCTACTGAATCCGTATGCACACTCAGGCTAGAGAAGCGCTAGCCCAAACCATCAGTTCTTTACCGTCGTGTTTCTTCCTGATGGTAGGAGACACACTTGGGAAGTAACTCATCTGCTACCTGCCTGATGTGTGTTCACAGCTCTAGTGAACCCCTGTTACTCATGGGAGTAACAGAGGGGAATAAGAATTCTGTTTTGTTGGGAAAAAGATTGAAATATGCTGTCTTAAAGCACAGAAGTTAAACCCACAAATTCTGAGAGTCTACCATATGACTTTTTCTTTAAATCAGAGTTTCTCAACATCAGCCCTACTGATATTTTGGACAGATACATTTTTAGTAAGGGAGCTGTCCTGTGCATCGGTACTGAAAAGCATCCCTGGCCTCCAACCACTAGATGCAAGTAGCAGCCCCTCACAGGCAGTTGTGACAACCAAAAATGTCTCTGGACATTGCCAAATATGCCCAGGGTGGGTGGGGTGGGTGGGAGGCTTGGGCCAGGGGGTCGTGTGCAAAACTGCCCCTGGTTAAGAGCCACTGCTATAAACTTAGTCCATACTGACAAAATCCTCTGTTTCTAAAGCAAAAATGAATCTTTTATTGTTAGATTGACAATTATTTTACGACCTCTACGACTTATCATTCTGTTAAGAGTTTTTCATCTGGCTCATCAAAAAAGACATCTTGAAATGCTGACCAGGAGGATGGTAAGTGTGCAAAACATGTTTATGATTCAGAAAAAATGTTTGTGCTTCAGGAAATACTGGCAAGGGTTGTAGATATCTATATATTGTTCTTTTTTTATGTTGATTTATGTTTTACAAATGAATGATTGTTTTAAACTCTCAGGTTTCAGAAAACAAACGGCGATACAAGAAGGATGGATTTGACTTAGACCTCACTTACGTTACTGGTTTGTGAAGTTTATCTCTTGATTTGCCTATATTAACATCACACTTTTCTTGTATGTGAGTAAGTAATTATATGCTAATTTTGTTCTTTCCCTGTCTGAGGCATGTTCTTTCAAAGCATTTTTTTATCCACGAAGACATATGCCACTATGATAGTGGGACATATTTGGAGTTTAACCCTGAAAATGGAAAAATCTTAATTTTCATCTCAATTCAGGGCTACTTGCTTATAGTATAGGAAGTTGAATGGATTTTCATCTGACTCCATTTGTTTGGTTTAGAATTTATTGAATTCTAGTAGTTATCCTCGGTCCCAAGAATTTCAAAGAGGCCTGTTCTCTTCCTAGAACGCTAGAGATGGTCATTGCTTTGTAGGTCTGGGTTTCTGAGTTAGGGGAACACTGGAAAGCATCCTAGGAGTTCCCAACATTGCTGGAGCCCAGATCTCTCATTTTTCTTTGGTGTTTAAATAAGAAATCAGTTCCCACCACAGGCAGCCCTCCAGACTAAAGTCAACTCAAATCTGTTGCATAAGGTTGGAACCAGTTGAGACTTGGGAACACTGAATGTAATGGTCAAAAGAGTGGATACTTTAACATCCAGTATTGGATATTAAATAAAGTTGATTATCCTGAGGGTTAGTTAGCTTTTTTCCTGTCATTCTCAATCCTGAAAGTTCTTTTCTATGAAAACAGTCTGATTATATGTAAGTCGAGTTCTCATATATTGTTTCACATCGATAACATTTGTTAATAGTGACTGTTTTGACTTCCAGAGCGTATTATTGCCATGTCATTCCCATCTTCTGGAAAGCAGTCTTTCTATAGGAATCCCATTAAGGTAAGAGTTTTTATCTAACAAATGCTCACATTTCTCAGTAAACATAGACTGTGGAATTGTGAGATAATGTGGGCCCAGAGATGACAGTGTTCTCCTAAAAATTTACTCTTTCAGGTAAAAAATTATCATGGATTGCTATCAATTAGCTTTTGCTCTGTGATGAATCACCCGCAAACTTAAATGACTCATAAGAGCAAACATTTACTTTGCTCGTGATAATGTGGTTTGTGAATTTGAGTTGGGCTTAACTGACCAGGGACACGCTTAACTGATTTCAGCAGAGCTAACTCATGCATCTATGGGCAGCAACTGGGCATCTGAAGGTTGGCTAGTCTAAAATGGCATTGCTGGATGGTTCCAAGTGATGTCTCATTCTGTAACAGGCTAGCTCAGGCTTGTTCACATAAGGAAGTGGCAAGGACCTCACTAGCATCAAGCAAAAGAATGCAGAGGCCCTGGCTCTCAACTAGTATAATGTGGCTTCTACCTTATTCTATTGGACAAGCAAACTACAAACCCAGTTCAGATTCAAGCAGACAACAGATGCCGTCTCTGGAAGGCAGGAATTGTGGTGAATTGTGGCTGTTTTTCATGATCTGTCATAGGGAAGAAGATTGAGAATTCTTTAACTAAAATGTGTTTTCTTAGATTGAGATCCTAAATTACAGTGGATACATACTGCTTTAGGTTCCGTAGATTAAATAAAGTTCAAGCATCAAGTGATGCTTACTATGAAATGCCAGTTAAAAGTCATTGTTTAAGAAGTTTGCATATGTGTGTGGGTGTGTATACATTAGTGCAATTTACAGTATTTGTTCTATCTCAATAAAACTGTAATTATGTATGTATATGTGTGTATGTCTATATATAAGTATGTGTATATATAATTATACTTTGAGGCATGTAAATTGTGCTAATCTCATGTATATCTTGATAAAATTATATATAGGTATATATACAGCCAACACCCCTATCAAAATATAGAACATTTCTTGTTCTTTTTCAGTCAATACCCCAACACACTGGGGGTAATTACTATTCTCACTTGTGTCACAACAGATTGGTTCTACTTTTTCTTGAATTTCACATAAATGGAATCATAGACTACATCTTCTGTGACCAGCTTTTTATGCTTAAAATGAATTCTGTGGGATTTATCCAATATTGTTGGGTGTACAGTAGTTCTTTCTGAATAGTATAAAATAATATTTATTGCTTCTAGAATACTGATTGAAAGCTCAAGCATTCAGTTTACTTACAGAAATTATACAATTATACATTGCTTCACAAAGGCAGCAAACACATTACACTCTAAAAAGTCTATTTTACAGAAAATTAAAAATTCTAAATATCAAAAGGTACATCCAAAGAAACAAGTATAAATTTGGCAGCCAGTAATTTTGACAGGAAGTTGTACGGCTTGCATGACTTTAATCTGTGAATATGACCTTCAGTCATTTAGCTCAAGTTCATCATTAATTTATTTTTCCAGTGTAATTGTGTTTCATACCATTGACATTTGCATACTCTAGAATATGTTAGAAAGAAATGTGTAGTATTCACAAATGTTCAGAAAAGCAAGCAAAAGTTCTGTGAATCTGCCCAGTTCTTGAGATGGTCTCACATCAGCTTCATAAGCATATTCAATCCTACAAAATAGTAAGCTGATGTTTGAACACAATTTCCAAGATAAAGCACATTTTCTCACAAATAGTGAAGTCTTTTTCTCAAGCACCACAAAAGTATACAAAAGAATTTTAGTTTGAACAGATCTCTCAGAACGTGTTTAACCTGATATTTCAACAGACTTAAAGTTTCCATGGTTTCACAAGGACCAGATTTTTAATTACTTAGAGGAGAAAGAAATGGCCTTGAAAGATGTGGACTCGATCATTACCAATAGAAAAAGTATCCAATGCATATCTTATAGAGACAGAAAAATAGAACATTTCCCCTCTCAGAATAATGTGTATATAATTATATGTAATATATATTATATATACTATACTATATAGCATATATAAGATAATGTATAGTTGTACATGTAATTATATAATATATAATATATTTCCCTCTTAAAATAGTGTATATTTAAATAAAATGTATATTATAGTATATATTAAATATAAATATATAATGTATAATATAAAATTAGTATATAGTAAATGTAATATATATCATGTTATATATAATTATGTTATATATTACTGCATATAAATTTTATATAGTATAACTATTATTCTATTTATAAATATATATATATATTTTATCTCTTACAGAAACAGAAAAATATAACATTTCCCCCTTGGAATAATACATGTATACTTATATATAATATATATTATACAGAATAATATATAATTACATGTATAAATTATATATGTATATGTCTTATATAACATGTAAATATATTATTCCATTTATAAATATATAATATAAACTCATCTCTTATAGAAACAGAAAAATATAACATTTCCCCCTTTATAATAATATATTTATATATAGTATATTATGTTATATATAATTATATAATATATAAATTATATAACTATATATTACATATCATATAATTATACAATAATATATAAGTATGCTTATATTATGAATATATTAACATCATAAATATATAATACTATAAGTATATAGATATGTAACTTATATAAATTTATGATTTGTATATTATATAATTATATAATTTATATTTTGTATGAATATGTAAATTAAAATTTATATATCATTTATGCAATATATAATTCTGTTATATATATTATTTGTATATAATGTTATATGTTATATTACTTTATTTTATATTTTATGATATGTATTATATTACATATGTTATATCATATAACATATATAACATATTATAAAATATGTTACACATAAATATATATTATTCTAAGGGAGCAAATTTTTAATTTTTGTTTCTGTAAAAGATGAACATATATGTAATTTATATTTATAAATATAAATAACTACCATGAAACCCTTTAATTCATATGGTAAATGTTGAAACTATGACCAAAATATGAAAACTACCAAAGCTGTTAGAAAAAGACTAGAAGCCTTTTCACATATGTATAATCTAAGCATGATACTCTCCAAAAAAAAAAAAAAAAAGAATTGTAATTATTACCTTCCAGTTTGAAAACTTTAATTCTAAATTAAAAAAAAAAATCTATACACAAGCCACTGATTTAACCAGATCCTCCCCCGCCCCCCCAACAAAGTGTTTAGTAAGGATATTCACAGTTCCTACAAGAACAACTCTTTCGGGGTTTATCCCAATAAGTACTTTATTTTACAACCTTCTACTCGTGCAAAACCAAAGGTCCATTTGATTACACAGCAATTTCATACAGTGTGAAACTAGAACTGAGTGTGAAATACTGCATGTAAGTATTTCTAAATTGTCTTGTTCTGTCGGTTCATCAGTGACTTCTGTGGCTTTATAGTCATTTTCTGTGGAAGAATCTGAGAGAATCTCTCCAGTTCTACTGGAATTGGAGCCTCCTAATTCTTCTGTTTCATGGCAGTCGGAATCCTACTTGCAGGGCCTCTGTTTTCACTGTCTTCTGAATGTAAATCTGTCTCATCCTGAGACAGATGAGATTCTTCTATTTGATTGTTTTCCACAGAATTCTCTTCATTTACAGTTAAGGCATCATCAGATTCTTTCTCTTGAATTTTTTTTTTCTGGAATCGTTTCTGTTGTTAAAGACACTCGTCCTCTTCATCCTCTTCTCTTCGTCTTTATTCTGAGATGAAGCTGGTTCTTCTGTTTCTTCTGTCATAACTGAAGAAGTGTGACTACAAGTTGTTTGGTCACATCTCTGACTTCACCTTCTTTGTCAAACTTGAGTTTCTTAACCTCATGTCCCTCAGGTCCCATACCATATTCATTTGGATGTTTATTTTCTATACGGCTGACTGAGGAACTCCTGATCCAGACGTCAGAGTCATTGTGAATTTTGTCCTAGTCATGCTGTAAGTTTGTAAAGACTCTTTGCTCACTGTGCTCTGAGGCAAACCATTCCTTCCTTCCACCCTCCCTCCTGCCCTCCCTCCCTCCTTCCCTTCCTTCCTTCCTGTTCTCTCCCTTCCTCCCTCCCCACCCCATTCTCTCTCTCTCTCTCTGTTTTTGTATAAGTTGCAGGAGTACAGCATTAAAATTCAACATCTGTATACACTACAAAGTGATTACCAGCACAAGTTTAGCTGCCATCTGTCACCATACAGTCGACCCTCTACCTATTTCAGCCACACCCCAAACCCCTTCCCCTCTGGTAACCAGTAGTCTGTTCTCTGTATCTGTGTTTGGTTTTGTTCACTTTTGTTTGTTCATTTGTTTTATTTTTTTAGATTTCACATATGAGTGAAATTGTACGGTGTTTGTCTTTCTCTGCCTGACAGAAATTAGCATAATACTTTGAAGGTCCATCCATGTTGTTGCAAATGGCAGGACTTCATTCTTTTATGGTTGAGTTGTATTCATTGTGTGTGTGTGTGTGTGTGTGTGTGTGCATGTGCATCTTTATCACATCTTTATTCATTCATCAGTGGACATTTGGGTTGTTTCCATATCTTGGCTGTTGTTAAATAATGCTGCAGTGAATATAGGGGTGCATATATCTTTTGGAATTATAGTGGTTTTTTTGTGTTCTTTGGCTAAATACCCAGAAGTGGAAGAGCTGGGATCATCATTCTAGTCTTAATTTGGGGGGTAATCTCCGTGCTGCTTTCCATAGTGGCTGCTCTAATTTACAGTCCCACCAACAGTGTTTGAGGGTTCCCTTTTCTCCACATCCTCTCCAACATTTGTTATTTCTTACCTTTTTGATAATAGCCATTCTAATAAGCGTGAAGTGATATCTTATTGTGGTTTTGATGTGCATTTTTCCCTAATGATTAGTGATGCTGAACATCTTTTCTTGTGCCCATTGGCCATCTGTATATCTTCTTTGGAAAGTTGTCTATTCAGGTCCTCTACCCATTTTTTTATTTTATTTTTTTGCGGTACGCGGGCCTCTCACTGTTGTGGCCTCTCCCTTTGCAGAGTGCAGGCTCTGGACGCGCAGGCTCAGCGGCCATGGCTCACAGCCCCAGCCGCTCCGCGGCATGTGGCATCTTCCCGGACCGGGGCACGAACTCGTGTCCCCTGCATCGGCAGGCGGACTCTCAACCTCTGCGCCACCAGGGAAGCCCTACCCATTTTTTAATTGGGTTGTTTTTTTGTTTTTAAGTTGTATAGTTCATATATTTTGGGTATTAACCCCTTATTGGATATATAAATTGCAAATATTTTCGCCCATTCACTAGGTTGCCTTTTCGTTTTGATCATGGTTTTTACCACCGTGCAGAAGCTTTTTAGTTTGATGTAGTCCCATTTGTTTACATTGGCTTTTGTTTCCCTTGCCTTTGGAATCAGATCCACAAAAACATCGCTGAGAGCAATGTCAATGAAATTACCGGCTATGTTTTCTTCTAGGAGTTTTACGTTTTCACATCTTACATTCAAGTCTTTAATCCTTTTTGAGTTAATTTTTGTGTATGGAGTGACATAGTGGTATAGGTTCATTCTTTTGCATGTGGCTGTCCAGTTTTCCCAACACCATATATTAAAGAGACTATCCTTTCTGTATATTCTTTGCTCCTTTATCATAAATTAATTCTCCATATATGTGTGGGTTTTTTTCTGGGCCCTCAGTTCTGTTCCATTGATCTATGTGTTTGTTTTTGTGCCAGTACCCTACTGTTCTGATGACTTCAGTTTTGTATCAATAGTATAGTTTAAAATCAGGGAGCATGATAACTCCAGCTTTGTTCTTCTTTCTGAGGATTGGCTATTCAGGATCTTTTGTGGTTCCATACAAATTTTAGAACAAATTACAATTTTCTTAAAGCTTGTTAACTTCCTTCTCTGGTAGCTTTAAACAATGTGTATTTACAGTAGAGGCTAATCAGAGTAGTCATCACAACTTCTGTGGGCTATTTGAAAACCATCAGTGGGTTAGATATGACTTGGAATGTATGTACCTTTTTATCCCCTGAAGCTCCCATAAAAGGTGCTAAGTGATGGACCAGTGAATAAAAGGGTGATAATCATTTTAGGCTAGTCCTAGGAAAAGGCTTATGTTGGTGCCATGTGGAATATGTAAGGTATCTGTCCATGTTTTTTAGGAAGTTGTACGGTTCCTGGATACCAAGCATCAAAACCACTACCAAGTGTACAACCTCTGCAGTATGTACATGACTTGATATTTTGCTATTATAGATAGAAAACAGGTCACTCACTGCATGTAAGAAGGTGATTCAGTTTTTACATTTCATGTAATCATAGGTATTTGGTGGTGGTGGCAAGTGAGTTTTAAAAAGTCTCCATCTTGTGCTGGCTCTATTTGGTAGGAAAAGAAAGTGCAACAGCACACAGTGCCCTACCCTGTGAGGTAGGCAGGAGACTGAGGGCAGAGCTATTTTAGGAGACTCAAGTCTAGTGGTAGTAGGTTTTGGAAAATATTTGTTTTTTCCTGCCAGCTTGTGTTTTGAAGACAATTCAACAAATTAATGCTCTAACCCACTAGGAATGAGGAGTGAGGAGACCAGGGCCCTGCATGGGAAGAAACCCCCAAACCCTATAGCAAACAAATTATAGCCCAGCTGACCCTCTTCCTGTATATTAAATGGACATTTTCAGGAGGCAAGTATTTTGGTTGGCCGCATTGGCTTCTGCTCTGTGTAACCTTCTGATAATGTAGTGAGTAGCCTGCTAGAAAAGTACAAGTAAGGCCTATTCAACCAAAATAATTTGGGCTTATGTTACTCAAGATGGACAAAACACTACTCTACTTTTATTTATTTTTATTATTATTATTTTTTTTTGCGGTACGCGGGCCTCTCACTGTTGTGGCCTCTCCCGTTGCGGGGCACAGGCTCCGGACACGCAGGCTCAGCGGCCATGGCTCACGGGCCCAGCCGCTCCGCGGCATGTGGCATCTTCCCGGACCGGGGCACGAACCCGTGTCCCCTGCATTGGCAGGCGGACTCTCAACCACTGCGCCACCAGGGAAGCCCCTACTTTTATTTTTGAGACCCTTACGTTTCTTTTAGAGCAGCAGGAGCCAGAGAGAAAGCTCCTTTTAAAGGTAGAGGAGGAATTTCAAATAGAAAAGTATAACTTATTTATACCTTGACCATTTACTGTGTTTATTAGGGTTAGAGATATGACCCGTGCATCATTTATTTCAGGTGAAAGAGCTTATGATGCTAAGTACTTCCATGATAGGGTCCATCGATACATGATTGACGATCACAATGTCCCCTCTTTGAGGTAAGTTTGATGCTGGCTGTCAGGAGAGGGTTAAATACAAAGGGCTTGATTTTTTGGGAAGTATTTTCATTCAGCTAAAAATCTTTCACTTGGAATCAGTGAGATGGTGGCGTTCTCCAAGGAAGTAAAAGAGTGGATCGCTCAAGATGAGGAAAACATCACAGTGATTCACTGTAAGGGGGGCAAAGGTAAAAAACGTTTTTCTTTTTCTTTCTCTTTCTCTTTTTCTAAAGAAATTTGAAAAATATATTAAAGTACACCAACAAGATATATTCTGCTATTAACCGGTATTAATCATTGTTAACATCTTTTACTATTAGCTTCAAGACTAAAGGGAGGAAGGGGGGAGGAAAGGAAGAAAAGAGTAAAGAAGAAAAGAAAGCAGGAGTAGAAGAACTGAGGAAGGTTAAGTGTGTTTTCCCTTGTTTATTGACTATTTGGGTTTCTTCACTTTTGATTTGCCAAAATATCTGTCAAAATACAAACACTGTTTAACTTTAGAAACCATCAGAGCACTTTTCGTTTTATTTAAGGTTGTTCTTAAACTTTGTGAGGACCTTTTAAAGTTAAGAGTGTCAACAGCAATGCCATTTCAAAGACCAAAAATTATACAGGAATTTTTATAGTGTAATGATACATAGAAGTTGATTTTGGTGGGGGGGGGAAATGGGGGTGGGGGGAAAGCCAGTTGTAAATTCAACCAGTTTAACTTGAGTCAGATTTTCTCTCTTTCAGATTTAGGCTTTTAATAATCATCTAGGCATATTTCACAGTTTTTGACAAATAAGGAATTATGGTTTCGTTGGGCTGTGAAACAGTTTTTTATATTAAATTCCAGGAAAACACACTTTAAAACTGCCTTATGTAATTGAGTAGAATAAAGTTTTAGTCTTATTTGAAAAGTAGTTTCAAGCTCATGAGTTAGTAGGCAAGTTCTATCTTTAGTTCCACAGGTCGAAATATTCTGTATGTATGGCAATTTACAATATTGCGCCTAAATGAAGAATACAGAGGTTGAACCACATGGAATTGCCTTCCTTTGGACCATCTTTTACTTTAAAAAAAAGGCCATTTAATATGGCTCAACCAAAATATTATAATCTAAGAGTTGGCTTTAGTTTTCTTTTAATCAGGTTAATTCCCTGCTTAAAGGAAAACCATTTCAAATTTAATTTTTTTTTCTGAGAGCAGACTTACATTATTCTGTGTTCATGTGTGTTTCATTGCTTTTCCTTTAGGATTGTTTGGAAGGCTAGTATTCAGTTGGTCTGTACCAGAGCAGCTCCTTTTTTCAAGTTTTCATTCATCTTGGTTTTGCTTCTTTTTGTTGGTTGATGCCTGCACATTACCAGTAATATCATGGTAGCCCAAATATTTTGTTATTGATTTATAGGACTTCTTTAAATAATCTGGGTGCTAATTTTTTGTTAGCAGTTTGTATTGCAAATATTTTCTTCCACTGTGTTGTCTTTTAAATTTGATTATGATTTATTTTGTCATATAGAAGTTTTTAAGTTTTAATGTGGTGAAGTTTATCAATCTTTGGTGTGTGTGTGGTTTGTGCATTTTGGTCACGTTTAAGAAACCCACCCATACACTGAGGTGGTGAAGATATTCTCCTTATAAAATAGTAAAGTTTCGCTTTTTACATTTAGGTCTTTAATCTAATTGGAATTTGGGGAGGGAGATTTTTTTTCCATATGGATAGACAATTGTCCTAAAACCATCTATTACATGCTCATGTAGTGCCCATCAACTTGTAGTCCCTTCTCAGTCATATACCAAGTTTCCATATGTATTTGGGACTGTCTGTGAATTTTCTATACCACACTATTATAATTTTTATAGCTTTATAATATATCTTGATAAAGACAGAAATCTCTTGACTCTTCTTACATTTAATTTTAGAATTTTATCAAGTTCTACAAGAAAATATATTTGGGATATTTATTGGAACTGCATTGAATCTATAGATTAATTCAGAAGCATTGAGAACTTTGCAATATTGAGCTGTACATGAGTAGTTTTCTATTTATTTGAATCATCTGATCTTTCAATAATATTTTAAACTTCTCTTCATGATGGTCTTGTATATCTTTGTTAAATTCATCCCAAGACACATTGCTACTGCAAAAGGAAGCTTTATTACATTTGGATTGGTTCCAATTGTTACTATTATAATGCTGCTATGAAATACATTTTTCTTGTTGCACGTGTGCCCACATTTCTGTTGAGTGTAGACCTTGGACTAAAATTGTTTTGTCTTAGATAATGAATCTCAAACTTTAATAGATGATGTCATCTGTTTTCCAAAACAGTTGACAATTTACACTCCACTGGCATTGCATGAAAGTTCCAAGTGTTCCACATCCTTACCAACACTTGGATTTCTCAGTCATTTTATTTTTAGCTGTTGGGTGGGTATGTAGTTGTATCTCATTATGGCTTTCATTTGCATTTCTATGGTTACTAATAAGATTGAGAAAGTTTTCATAGGTTTATTATGATATCCTTGCATATTCTTTTTTTGTGAGGTATCCGTTTAATTTCCTTGTCTATTTTTATCCTGGATTGTCTGTTTTTCTCCAAACTGACTTGTAGGAATTCATTATATATTCTCAATTTCAACTCTGTTGTTTGTTATATGTATTATACAGTATTACAAGATAGCTTTTCTGCTCTGTGATTTGCCATTTCTCTGAGTATCTTTTGGTTAACAGCACTTCTTTTCTAACATAGTCAGTATACATTGTTCTTTCTCAAGGTTAGTGTTCTGTGTCCTAATTAAGAAATCTTTCCCTGAGTTTAAAAATACATAGTCCTATATTATCTTATATAAGTTTTATTTCGTTTGGAATTGATTTATGTGTGTGCTGTGAGGAAGGGGTCAAGTTTTATCATTTTCCACATGGCTGTCTAATTGTTTCAGCACACTGATTTCATTTCCTTGCTGTTCTGCAGGACATGGGTCTGTTTCTGAACTTTCTAATCTGTTCATTGCTTTTTCATCTATCTGTGTGCTAGTAGCACAACTCTCTTACTTGTCTTAGCTTTTTAATAAGTCCTGATTTCATTTCAAGGGAGTCCACTCATCTTGTTCTTCACAGTTGTTTCGGTTTTTTAGGTCATCTACATTTCCGTATACATTTTGGAATCAGCTAGTCAGGTTACACACACACACACACACACACAGCCCTGATGGAACTTTGGAATTTCATTGAAGCTGTAGATAGAGGGGAATTGAAATCTTTACAATACTGAGTTTTCCAATCCATGAATGGAAATATCCACTCATGTAGTTAAGTCTTCTTCAATCTCTCTTTATAATGCCTTTTCATTTTCTGCATAGAAAGCTTGTATATGTGTGGTTAGATTTATTCCTAGATATTTGATATTTTGATATTTTAACTATTATAAATTATATCCCTTGGAAATTTTTATGTACTAAATGTTTTTTTGTTGATGCTCTAAATGCAGTTGATTTTATTAACCTTGCAATCGCAAAGTTAACTAAATTCTTTCATTAATTCGATTAACTTTTCTGTAAATGCTTTTGGATTTTATGGCATATGATTATATCGTATGAAATAATGAACTAAATTCTTCCTTTTCAATCCTTTTTTTCCCTAGCACTGGCTAGAACCTTTGGTACAGTGTTGAATTATATGTGATGATCGCAAGAATCCTTGTTCCCCTGCTCTCAAAGGAAAAGCTTTCAGCATCTCATCAATTACTTTAGGGTGTGTGTGTGTGTGTGTGTGTGTGTGTGTGTGTGTGTGTGTGTGTGTGTGTGTGTGTGTTATATATTCTGTATCAGATGAAGACATTCCTTTAATTTGCTAAGAGTTTTTATAATGAATGAATGTTGAATTTTATCAGAAGCTTTTTCTGTGTCTTTAAAATAATATGATTTCTTACCTTTATTCTATTAATCTCGTTGATTACATTGACTATAAAGTAGTAAACTAACCTTGAATTCCTGGAATAAACACAATTTTGTTGTGCTCTATTATTTTTTAATAAATTGCTGGATTCTGTTTGCTAATATTTTCTTAAGGATTTTTGTATCTATGTCATGAGTAAGAGTGGCTATAGTTTTCAAATTTTGGCTTCATAAACCAAAATTAAGTTGTACTTACTCTTTTTATTAAAGTCTCTGGATGAGTTTGTATAAGTTGACATTTTGTTTCCTTACATGTAAGGTAGAATTCAGTAGTAAAGCCACATTGGCCTCAGTGGGGGAATTGGCCTTAGTTTCTCTGTGGGGAAGTTTTTAAAGTATGGCTCAATTTCTTGATTAGATATGGGATTATTTATAACTTTATTTCTTCTGTGCATTTTGGGTATTTTCCCAAGCATTTGTTCATTTTATCTAAATTTTCAAATGTCTTGGCATCAAATTGTCTTAAAATATCCAATTCTAATATCTACAGTGGTGTTCCCTTTTTCATTCCTTACATTGCTATTTTTGGTGCCTTCTCTTTTTTTTCTTTTGATTAGTCTCACCAGGGATTTACTAATTTTATTAGTCCTTTCAAAGTACCAAGTGTTTTGGCCTTACTGATCTTCCCTGTTATTTGTTTTATTTCATCATTTACTTTAGTGTTTCCTTTCTTCCACTTTCTTTGGTTTAATTTGCTGTTTTTTTCCTGACTTCTTGAGATGGATGCTTAACTCATAGATTTTCAGCCTTTCTCTTTTCTAGTTAGCGTTTAAGGCTGTAAATTTCCCTCTAAGAATAGATTTAGCTTCATCATACAAGTTTTTATGTATATTCATTATTATTTAGTTCAGAATATTTTCTAATTTCCATTGTGCTTGTTTCTTAGACTCATGGGTTATATAGAAATATACTGTCTTATTTTCAAACATGAAGATTTTGTAATTATCTTCTAGTTATTCATTTCTAGTTGTATTGCATTGTGGTCAGAGAACATATGCATTTTTTTAGTTCTTTGAGATGTATTTAGACTTGCTTTATCGCCCAGAATTTGGTCAATTTTATCAAATGTTTTCTGTGCACTTGAAAATAAAGTGTATTATACATTGTCCTGAACAGTGTTCTATATGTGTCCATTAGGTTGTTTGTTAATTGTTTTATTCAAATCTTCTATATCCTTACTGATATTTTATTTTGGTTTGCTTGAATTCTTTGCAGCATAATTCCTTCCTCCCACCACCACCATTTGCTTGGAAGTCATATACTCTTTTTATATTCCTTAGTGTTTCTCTAAAGATTTCAACTGACATCCCTTATTTAGCTATCAGTTTTTGCTTCTTTCTTAGTGTTGACCTTGTATCTTCCTGAACTTTCATTAGTTTTAGGGGTTAGCCTATAGATTTACTTGGACTTTTCTAGTCTGCAAATAATGAGAGTTTGTTTCTTCTGTTTTGATCCCTATACATTTTGTTTTTCTTATCTTACAATACTGGCTAAGCCATGTAGTAAATAGAAGCAGTGAATAGTGGACAGTTTGTTTAGTTCCTGGCTTTAAGAGGAATGTTATCATCATTTCATCGTTAATATGATATACCTGGTAGATTTCCTTTCATCATAGTTAAAAACTTAAAACCTTTGTCCAATAGCAAAAGTTTAGTGAATGAATATATGTTTGTTTTAAGTTAAAATACTGAAGACAAGTGTAAATCATTTTAATGATTCCTTGCATACCTGACTTGACTGGATGAGAGGGCATCTACTTTGTCTGTGATTGTGCTTATCCATAGCCACTGGGACATGAATCTGCAAGTTTTTTTTTCGAATGGGAATATATAAGGGCTGTAAAGACTCAGAGATGTCCACCAGAATTGAAATGTTAACCATCCATGCTAGAGAGCTAGAGAGCTAGATTGTTAATGGTCAGTAGCCTCCTTTAGCAAGAAGCTTTTACTTATCAGAGCACAGGGTGGTACAAAGTCCTCTTTGGAAGTACTTGGCTTAGAATATTGTTTTTCAAACTATGGGTTGCAAAATAAATTTAGTGGTTCATTTTTTTAAAAGGATAGAATAGAAAATAGGGTGCATCTTAAGGTAAAAGGATAAGTTTGGAATTATATAAAATAAAGTTCAGCTTATACTGGCTAAGACAAAAGCTATAGATCATTGTAGAAAGAATAGATGCAATGTACTTTTTAACTCATATTTTATATGGCAGGACAAAAATATAAATTAGAAAAAAAATGAGACTTTGAGGATAAAATGACATGAAATCAAGGATTTGCTTTAACATGCTGCTGGGGGGCTGCGGTGCCTGTAGAGAGGGGGAGGGAAAGAAGGATGAGGGAAGAAAAGGGAGAAACAAATATAACAATTAATATGATAATTATCAAATCTGGGGAACAGGTATATGGGGGCTCATTATTCCGTTCTTTCTACTTTAATATATGTCTTATAACACAAAAAAAACCTCTAACTAAAATGGAAGGAATAATAGCTATGGCAAATGCTAGGTGGTGTTTTGGGTTCTGTCCACGTTTTATCTTTTATAGTTTCTTTTATTTACATTAGTAGGAAAACAGGGTGTGTAATTAGCTCTTAATTGGTAGGTATCTCTTTAGCTTTAGAGTCCTGGAGCAGAGCTCATTGCCTCTGCCTGTTACTGCAGTCTCCAGGGGTCATGATTCAAGAACAACATACACGTGCACATCCATGCACAAAATTAGCACAGAACTCCAGGTAGAACCTCAGAGCAAGCAGTGTAAGGGCTTTGTCTATCTCTGAATTGAAATATTTTGAACCAGCACTTTCAGAGTGGAAGAAAATCAATCCAAAATGAACTCCAAATACTTCTGAGAGTAGTTTTATACCAAGTGCTGCCATGAGCAATGGTTCATGAACTAACTTCTTTTCTAGGAAGAACTGGAACTATGATCTGTGCCTACCTTCTTGCCAGTGAAATATTTGCAACCGCAGAGGTATGAAAGATGCTCCTACCAATGCTGTCTTAGGCTGATTGAATTTGCTAGCTCTGAAACCTCACTGGTGCGATGTTAACATGATTCCTGAGTCATGGTAATTAATGGAGTTGTAATTGGAGAGGTGATTATTAGAAAGCCTGGTTTGGATACTTTCTCATTTAACTGGCACTAGTTAGTAACTGACCTCAGGGCCTCTTTCTTTGGGACGGGATGAGGGTGAGGTCAATGAGACGCTCACCTTGGACACAAAATTTAAGGGAATGCCAAAAATCTCAGTAATTAAGATAAATAATATTCCAGTGTAGCATTTAAAAAATCTAAGTCAATGCCAAAAAATCCATCGTGGATACAATATGAATATTTTAAATAAAGACAGGACACAACAGAGTCCAGATTAATGTGAAATGAGTAAGGTCAAGTTGTGAAAGTGCAAGAAAACCTCAGCAATACAGAGGCTTGACTTGCCTCCCCCAGACCCAGAACTGCTCTGACATAATCCCACCAGCTCCAGGCCTTCCTCCTTTCTCACGAGAATAATAAGAAGATGGGTTAGGGAAGTTTTCTAAAGGACCTTGAACATCCTTGCAAGTGCTAGGTAGGTAAAAGGCATCGTTTTCCAACTCAGAACAAAGTCTCTCCTGGATGTTATATCTTTGTACAGTCAACATCTGTGGGGCCTGTGCCCTCTGGAAATTTCTGAGAAGACAGGATGGGCTGTTGCTATGTCTTAAAGCAGGGTTCCCACTCTTTTTCTGCCATGATCTTACTGAAAAGTCACCTCTTAGAGGGCACGCTCCCAGCAGCTCTGCTTCTCGCTCAGCCTGCCGCCCAGATAAGAGAAGCTGGGGGTTATGATCTGGGCCCAGCACCAGATTCCACCGTCGTCTTTATTTCAAATTTGAGACACACAGGAAAATGGATGCTCTAGGACAGTGTTTTTCACACTATGGATCACAGTTTATCAGTGAGTTGTGAAATCAACTTATTGGGTTGTCACTCGCATTTTTTAAATAAAATGGAATTGATTAGAATAGGAAATATCAAAAGGTAAGTATTGTCTGTGAAACTTTTGTTTCAGTTGTGTGTGTGTGTGAGAGAGTGCGTGTTTATGTGTGTTTATGAATGTGGACTGCAGCTTTAAAAATAAAAAGTTTGAGGGACTTCTCTGGAGGTCCAGTGGTTAGGACTCCATGCTTTCACTGCCGAGGGTTGAGTCCCTGGTCAGGGAACTAAGATCCCATAAGCCGTGTGGCGTGGCCAAAATAAGTAAATATATAAATATAAGGTGTGAAAGCTGTTGGTCTGGAGCCCTAGACAGAGCTAGAGGCCGGTGCTCAGGCCTTTGCTGTCTCTGACAGGCTGCATGCATCTCCACGGCAGGTCACTTGGTTTTCTTTTGGTCCTAGTCTTCTCCATTTGTAAAATAGAAAGATAGGAAGAAAGACCAGATTATCTCTAAACTCTTCCAGCTCTAAAACTGCCTGTCTTTGTGAATCTTTGAATGAATGATGTGGCTTTGTTCATTGTTATTTTGGGTATAGCCTCTGCCCAAAGACCGCTGATTTAAGGAAATCATGTGCCCTTAGAAACTTCAGAATGCCTTATACAGGAAAGGGACGTGCAGATGACCCATGATTGGACTGTCCCCTTTTTTATAGGACAGCCTTTATTATTTTGGAGAACGACGAACAGATAAATCCACCAGCAGTAAATTTCAGGGAATAGAAACTCCTTCTCAGGTAAGTGTTCTATCTTTAAAAGGGGTCACTCTGGGTAATTAGGTTAAGATTGGCATCTATTACCTGGTTTCATTTTAGACTCTCTTCCTTGGGTGATTCCTTAGGTCATCATCTCCTTGGGTGATCTTCTTGGGTGCCCCGTGACAGGCCTTGATCCCTTCCAGAGGCCAGGAGCCCTGCCTCAGGTGTTGCTTGGCTTTGCAAGCACTGAGTTCTCCCCAGAGCGCCCTGCTTTTTAATTGGTTATCGTTTACAGAGTTCAGGAGTTGATTCCCTTCCCAAGGTAGGAAGGTCCAATTCCTAAGGTTTCAGACCCCTGAAGATTATCTGAAGTCACTAGGCTTTTATTTCCATGTAAAGAGGAACTGAGTCTTTCACAAACCCCTATTAGGGCAATTCAGCCCTCGTAGAAAATTGTGTGTGTGTGTGTGTGTGTGTGTGTGTGTGCGCGTGTGCACGCATGGGCGCACACATGTGCACATGTGTAAGGGAGAGACAGACAGTGACAGCAAAAGAGACAGAGTCGGTAGGAGGGGGGCTGCACTTCAAAAGAGAAAGGAAAGGGAAAAGTAACATTTTTCAAAAACCTATTTTATACTAGACACTATTGTACTTTTACATATATTGTCTCATTTAATACTTAGACAACCCATGTGACCCATATGTTATTACCTTATTTTTTTTCCTTTTTAAAATGTTTTATCATGGACTTTTTCATAAAAAGTCAAGACAGTCATACAATAAATCCCCTTATATTCATCACACTGCTTCAGCAATCATTTCGTCATGTGGCCAACCATTCATTCCCTCCCCACTCTACACACACACACACACACACACACACACACACACATGCACGCATGCTTCATTTTCACACTAAACTTGGATTATCTTGAAGGAAATCCCAGACATCAGATCATCTTATCCCCTAAGCATTTTAATATGACATCTAACATAAAGACTCTAAAAAAAAAAAAAAATCCCTTAAAACCATTGACATATCTAACAATATTATACCTTAATAGTATCAAATGTCTAGTCCTCGTTTAAATTTCCATAATTATCTTAAAATCTTTTTAAAACTTAGTTTGTTTCAGTCAGGATCCAAACAAGGGCACACATTTCATTTGGTTGCTATGTCTCCTTAAGTCTCTTTTAGCTTATAGGTTTCCCACCTCTTGTTTTTCCTTGTAAATTGTTTATTGCAGAAACCAGGACGTTTATCCCATAGAGTTTACAACAATCTAGACTTTGTTGAATCCTGCTAAGGGTTTTGCTTTCATTATCTAATATAATATTCTCAGTAACTCAATGAGTGTGCACCATTATGATTTCCATTTTATAGACTGGGAAATCGAGGTTCAGGGAAACTAACTTTTTGAACTAAGAACTCAAGTCCAGATCTTTCAGACTCCAAAGCCCGTTGTTTCCCATCCTGTGCACAGCTTCTCATTTGGATTTTGCCTTTTCTATACGGCCCCTCAAACCCAAGTGAGAGACGGTTGGGAATTCTTAAGTAAATGTGGATGTGGCCATGAAGGTGAGTTTTCTTTGAGTGAAGTGATGAAAGCTGATACCCTTGGCCTAGTAAGCAGAACACTGTAGCTGCTGGCTCTAGACATTTCATTTGGGATCAAAGAACTCAGCCTTATCCATTCATACTTTTCTGCCAAACTCAACACAAGAAGAAAAAACAAAAGATAGCCATAGGCTATACGTAATACATCAACTTATTGAAGCCCAGCTCGAATCATGCCATTTCACGCTCAAAATCCATAATGGCTTCTGACTGCCAATGGCAACAAGTATGTTTTAACCTGGCGCTCCCAATCTAGATTTGATTTTTCCAACCGCTTCCACTATGTGCATTCACACGCTCTAACGCGTTTGAATTGTTTGCCGTTTCCCAGCCTGTTTATACTTTACACCCACGTGCTCACGAGGGCCCTTTGTCCTGGAGTCCCTTTGCCCTCCCAGCCTGAAGTAATCTGCTTTTTCAGGAGTTCTTACAGCCCTCTGTGTTCCTTTTAGGGACTAAGTTGCTTTACACTATTTTCCAGCTATTCGAAGTTGTGTCTTCTCTACCCTTTTTGCACGCCCATGTCTTGCCCATCTTTCCACCCTGGCAGCCCGAAGTGCCTCATATAGTATCTCCTTTGTCTGTAGTGAGTGCTTACTAAATATATGTTGGTTTTATTAACTTCTGCTACATGCGCCTGTTGTTTTGGAGACACGTGCAGTGTCTCTAACTTACTCCAGGACTGGCACACCCTAGGCTGCAGCTGAGTCTCTTCTGATTCACTAGGCTAGCAGTGCAGGGGCCCGGCCTCAGGCTTGAGGGCTGTGTTGGCGAGGCCCCAGGACAGAGTTCCCTGTGTGTACGGCAGTAGTTCTCAGACACCATCCCCTCCTGACCGTGCAGTGTGGCCATTCAATGCACTACATACATTTCATCCACCCCTGAGTTAAGAGCTTGACTGGTCCTTTCCAGTGCAGAGGATGGTGGTTAATTTTCTTAACACTTCGCAACGGGTGGGGAAGAGTCTATGAACTTTTCAGCCCGGTTGATTCTGTACCAGAACTCTTCTTAACTTCTAGAAGAAAGGAGAGCCCTTGTGAACGGCTTGCCACAGGAGATGGACTAGGCTAAGAGAATCCCCAGGCTTCCTTGCAAAAATGGAATTGGGGAAACGGGAAGTGGAGAGATGCTCACTGGCTGGGACTAGAGAAGAATGTGAATGTGCTGCTGGCCTATGGAGCTCTCCCCCTGAGCTTTTACATCTTCCCTTCTCTCATGCCGAGGAGGCTACTGCTCCCCAAAGCACAAACCTTCCTTTAACTCAGCCACAATGAAGCTTCTACCCCACACCGACCTCTCCCACATTTGCAGTTAATGGCATCTTGCTGTCATGTTGTCCTAGCTGTTTTGTTGGTTCTGGTTAGTTGCACTCAGTTCCAGCAGCCTCTAAGCAACACCTGGCTCCTTACTTGTTCCTTGCCTGTTGCTCTTCATTCAGTATTTTTTTCTAAGGTAGATATTTAGTCATGAGGCAACAAATGCCTAGTTCCATAATGGCACCCAATCAATGTTTCCTTCATCAATTATTTTCCTTAAAAAAATCAGGACTTTTTACCTCCACTTAAATCGAGACTTCTGTTGTTTTGCAGAGCAGATTTGTTGGATATTTTGCAATGGTGAAAAATACCTACAATTTGACTCTTCCTCCAATGAAAAAACTCACGATGAAAAAAATCATTATTTATTCAATTCAAGGTAAGTGCTTTATGTATAATTGGAGAATTGGCAGGAGGGCCAGTGTGTTCTTACTATTTGGGAGGGTTTTCTCATGGTTATAGACAGAGACAATCCCAACACATAGCTGTCTTTTTGTGTGGCCTCAGGTATAAACCCCTCCCCCTGGAATTGCCCATCAGCCCCGCGCTGCTGTGGCCACGTTACCACTGCTTAGGTGTCCTCTCCTTTCCTTTCCCATCACCAATTTGGGGGGCTCCATCCCCCCTTCCCTTTCTCCTGTTCTCATTGCTGCTCCGGCCTCAGCCCAGGGTGTCCTTTTCAGAGTAGAGTCTCTGAGATTAAAGGGAGGGAAGGTCCCATGAGGCCTGGAGACCACTTCTTTCTCATGCCCATCTCTGGTTCAGGGTTCGTCTTGGGAGATGCATCCCTGTATCATTTTCTCTCCTACTTCTCTCAGAAACCTTTTTTTTTCCCCCTTATCTCCTGATCTCTCCCTTTCCCCACCCTCCTCCCCCATAGCCCTCTCTCCCTCCCCCAGCAACTCCATCAGGATGTCTTAAATACCTGGACAGCAGATGAATTTTGTTGCCACAGATTCTTTTTGCAAATAACTGCTGAGAACTGCTTTGGGCCAGGCCCCCTGCTTGTGTTTCTTTGCCCTTCAGGAGCCCCTGAGTGTAAGGGGAAGAGAGGAAAAGGTACACAGATGAAGAGCTGCCCACAGTGTTGGACCGCTTCCTAGGAGAACAGCACTTAGGTCGTCCCTCCCTGAACCTACAGGAACACAAAAAGGGGTTGGGAGAAACCTGGCCTCTGGGGGGCTCTCTCAGCCCCCTAGCTGTTACCAGTTTTTACCAAGAGTAAAAGTCCTATAAACTTCAAAAGAGCTGACGATGCCTGCTTTAGGAGTGTAAGGAGAAAGAGGGGACCTGCCGTTGCCCTGAGAGGCAGAGATATTGGTCAGATCGTCCACCTCTGGGACTTGAAAGACAAGGAAGGAGGGGAGAGGAATGGGCCTCAAGGCCATGTCTTTCTTTCTTTGTCACCCGCCTAGCTTCCCTGTACAGCTCACCCTCAGGGAGGTGGAAACAGGGACCCCTCAGTGTGGAGGGGATGGGGCCTCACCCACTGCCAGAACTGCAGCAGGAGGTGATGCTTCTGATTCCCTAAAGCAACAGCCAGCTTGTGGAGCGCGAGGCACGGTCCTGAGTGCCGGGCCTCTCCTGGGCCCGGCTGTGGGGCGAGGGCGCTGGTGTCCACCCAGACAGCCTATTGCTTTTAGCCCTCTGAGGAGTCACACAAAATAAGGTCTAGACATGTATTTTTTAACGCTTCGTCCAATTATTCAGAAATAAGAGAACCCTTTAGAATATATGTAAAAACTGCATAGTCAAAAAAAAATTACAATTGTTAGTTAAAATATAAAATGCTTTTTTCAAATTATTTACATATTTCTCCCCTCTCCACACGCGCACATCGCCGCCACTTCTTGGCAGGGGTGAGGAATTGTGACAGTTACCACGAGCTGATTGCATGGGTTTCTGGCTTCTGGAAACAAACTTCAGCCCAGCAGCATGGTTTCTGTGGGAAATTTTGGTCTAGATTTCCAAACAAGCGTTGTGCAGGCAGACCCTGGAAACACAGCCTGTTCCAGCAGGAGGCTGCCTGTGTGTATAAAGAAGCAACCGTGCGAAGGCTCTGTGGGCTGCAGAGCGCTCTGTGAGGCGCATTCTGACTGTGATGTGCGTGTGTCACGTATGAGGGACAGGGCTGGAGTGGAGCCTCGCTCGGCACACCGTCTGCCTTCAGACGTCCCCAGGGTAGAGCCAGGCTTGTCTGGCAGCTGGTGGGTGGGAGGGGACAGCAGTGCCTTGCTCCCCATTGTTTCCTGCAGAAAGTGCAGTGTGAGAGGCAACCCAGGTGGCTGTTGGAGCAGTGTCTTCCTCTAGGAAACTGAAACTCACCTCAAAAGCCAAGTTGGTGGCGTGAGAGCCTGTTTTGTACCTGAGCGTATCCTCTCCCTCAGGGTCCTCTTGGTTAACAGTGGGAATCCAGGCATCCCTCGTTTTATTGCTCTTTGCTTTATTGCGCTTTACAGATGTTGCACTTGTTCAAAAAATGAAAGGTTTGTGACAATTCTGAGTTGTCAGATGATGGTGAGCAGTTTTGTTTTTTTTTTTTTTTAGCAATGTGGTAATCAAGTTTTTTTATTTAATGGTTTGTGTTAGAATTTTATTTATTGGCTGCATTGCGTCTTTGTTGCTACTCTTCGTTGCAGTGCATGGGCTACTCATTACAGTGGCTTCTTTTGTTGCGGAGCACGGGCTCTAGGTGCGCGGGCTCAGTAGTTGTGGCTCATGGGCTTAGTTGCTCTGCGGCATGTGGGATCTTCCTGGGCCAGGGTCGAACCCGTGTCCCCTGCATTGGTAGGCGGATTCTTAACCACTGTGCCACCAGGGAAGTCCCGATCAAGTATTTTTTAATGAAGGTATGTACATTGTTTTTTTAGACATAATGTTATTGCACACTAAATAGACTACAGTACAATGTAAACATAACTTTTTGTATGCACTGGGAAAACAAAAAAGTTCGTGTGACTCGCTTTGTTGCGATATTCGCTGTATTGCAGTGGTCTGGAACCGAACCCACAGTATCTCCGAGGTAACCCTATAACAGTATCTATACAAACCTCTGTGAGTGTTAAACTATTCCAAACAGGCAAAAAGGCATTTAGTCTGATAGAGTTTTGATGCATTTCTCTAACGTGAACAATGAGAACAGGAATAGTTTCTCAAACTTCTAAGCTTAAAAATGGTTTTAATAAGTTCTAGCATTTCATATATTGTCCCAGTCTGATATCATATCCTAAGACTGTGACTTCTCTCTTCATATTTTGAATTTTACTTAACCTCTGTGGAGATATTGTTTAGTTAAAACTGTAAAGTGCAGATCTAGAGAACAGAGGAACTAACACAAATTTATAAGTACTGCAGGTGAAAACTGGTGGAGAGTTTTATGGGTTTGGTTTCCTCATCTCAGGCTAACATGAAAGAGAGGATTTTGCAAGTCTAATTTGAGATCCCTCATAAAGGCTTCCAGACAGAAAGTTGTGCCCTTTGCAGCTGTTCTTACAGTGTGGGCCTCAGCTGGTAGAGCCAACTTAAGAAGGCCTGGCTGGTATGCCAGAGTTCTTGCTGCGCCCACGTAAATAAGCAGGCCAAACCCAATGACAGCAGCTTTCTTTTGGAATAAGAATTATCCCCTTTGAGGGACATCAAGGTGGCGAAGTAAGAGGATGCTGAGCTTACCTCCCGCCATGAACACATCAAAAATACAACTACCTGTGGAGCTACCTGGAGGCTGGCAGAAAGGCCCTTCTACAGCCAAGGCTGTAAAGAAAAATCCACATGGAGTCTGGTAGGGAGGGAGGGAGAAGTGATCTGGTCGAGACCTGCACCCTTGGTGGGGGACCCAGACGTGGAGGGCGGTGTCATGGGCTTGGGGAGCCTCCCTGGGTAGCAAGGGGTTTGAGCCACACATTTGGCACTCCAGCCCTGGGGTCTGACACCAGGAGGATGAGTGCCGTTAGCTGCTTTGAAAGCCAGTGGGGCTCATGGGAGGCTGTAAAACACTGAGACCTCACTCAGAGAGTGAGTGGCTGCTTATACCCCCATCCTGGCAGACGCAGCAGCCTGAAAACTCTGACCAGGGAGAAAGCAGCCTTGGACAGTGCTCGGTCACTGCCCACATTTAGGAGGAGTGAAACTACTCCAGGGCAGGGACTGACATTGCCAGCAGGAAAGAAACCAGCTCAGCAGTGAGGCACCAACCCCTCCGGCCCTGACCCAGCCTCTGACCAAGGGTGTACAGTGGGGAAAATGTAAAACCAGCACAGAAGTGCAGCCCCAAACCCTTGAGTGCCTGCTGCATCCCAAACCAAGGTGGAGACTGCTGAAGTAAGTGGGTCAATTAAATTGAAAAAAAAAAAGGGAGAAGAAACCATTTGTCTGTAAATATATGCTCAACATAGCAGGAACGTCTGGATACAGCTATCTTATATTTTCCATAAACTGGATTTAAACTAGGGCAAGAGGAATTTAGACTATTTATTATTATGATTATTTTTTGTGGTACGCGGGCCTCTCACTGTTGTGGCCTCTCCCGTTGCGGAGCACAGGCTCCGGACGCGCAGGCTCAGCGGCCACGGCTCACGGGCCCAGCCGCTCCGCGGCACGTGGGATCTTCCCAGACCGGGGCACGAACCCGCGTCCCCTGCATCGGCAGGCGGACTCTCAACCACTGAGCCACCAGGGAAGCCCTAGACTATTTATTATTAAGAAACATCACAATTAGAAGTCTGAAGAAAGCAGCACATCAACAAGAAAGGTTGCACGTCCCCTTCCCTATTTTTTTTTTCTATGAAGGAGAAGCGATGGGATTCCAAATCTTAGAAGCTGAACAATGTCTTTTTTTTTTTTTTTTCTCCAGCCCTATACATTCTGCTTTCAGGGACAGAACTGAACTTGAAGCCTTGTCTTTCAAAGACAAAAATCCATGGAATAGCCAAATGATTCAATATTGACACAGTGTTAGCTGGGATAATTTTTTCTCTTTTTAATCCGTATTGTTAATTGGTGAGACATTTTGATCTTTGCTCTAACCAGCCTAACTTTTTAATTTCATTCAGGTGTTGGAAAAGGCAATGGAAATGATCTAAAAGTACAAATAATAATGCAACGGAAGCCTGTCTTTTTCTGTTCTGCTTCCAAAAACTGTAAGGTAAGAGAAAGCATGGAAACTGAAAATTCTAGTGTTTGTTTTAAATCTCAATGTCAAATCAGCATGTTGCCCTCCCCAAACCATCACTCACCACAGGGAGGGGCCGTGTTGCTTTCTGGTTACCATCCAACTTGGTGTCCCTGGGTTTGGATTTGAGTCGAGTTAAATTTATTGTTCAAAATAGTTTTCAGGGGAAATAGTTTTCCAGAATATATTTTCAGTTCAGAGTGGTGCTTTGCCGTTCACTTTTCCACAAATGCCAAGCATGTTCCCAGGAATCTGTCAGAGTTTTAAATTCATGTATCTGGTCCCTTTTAGCCATATTCTCTTCTTCCTGGTCATTTTTATTATATGGCACTGATTCTGAAATTTTAATGTGCATGAAAGTCACCTAGAGACTGGTAAAGATGCAGATTCCTAAGTTATACCCCCAAAGTGTGATTCAGGAAATCTGGAAAGGGGCCCAGGAATCTCTAGACTTAGCAATGTCTCAAGGGATTCTAACTCAGATATCCTGTGGGACTGCACTGTGAGAAACAATGCAGGGGTGTATGGATTGGGGAGGAATCTCTTTGGGACCAAAAGTCAGTTTTCTTAAAGGCTGAAGAAATGGTTAAGACTACAAACCTTTCCTGGAGCAACAGGAAAGCTTCCTTCATGGGTGTAAGAAATATAAACTTTTAAGATTCTTTCTCAGGCTTTGGTCTCTAGTTCTCCTATTACCTCTCCTCTTCCTTCTTTTTTTTTTTTTTTTTTTTCTTGCGTTATGCGGGCCTCTCACTGTCGTGGCCTCTCCCATTTGCGGAGCACAGGCTCCGGACGCGCAGGCCCAGCGGCCATGGCTCACGGGCCCAGCCGCTCCGCGGCATGTGGGATCCTCCCAAAACGGGGCACGAACCCGCGTCTCCTGCATCGGCAGGCGGACTCTCAAGCACTGCGCCACCAGGGAAGCCCCCAAATTTATCCAATGAACTTTTCATCTGCTTCTGCAAATGACACCAGCATTCTCTTACTCAGACTTTCAAATCTGGTGTCATCTTTGATTCTCTCTTTGCCCGCGGCCCCTAAATCCAGTTAGTCACCAGTTCCTGCTGATGAGACCACTGGAATCTCTTTTCACTCGCTCCCTTCCTGTCTGTTCCCATTGCCACTACCCGGTCCAGGACCTCATTCGCTCATGCCTAGACTTCTACAACCGTCTCCTTACCTTTGCTTTCTCCTTATACAGGGCAGTATATAGGGTCCTGCAATACGCATCCTGAAATACTGCTCTCATTGTAAAAAGCTGTAGCTAGAGCAGAAGACACACTGCGTACCCACGGTCAAAGCTAGTTAATATCTTTGGCGCAATATTCTTTTTTTTTTGTTCCTGGCTGTGAGGCATGCAGGATCTTATTTTCCCAAGCAGGGATTGAACCCATGCCCCCTGCAGTGGAAGCGTGGAGTCTTAACCACTGGACCGCCAGGGAAGTCCTTCTGGCTCAGTATTCTTATCTGTAAAATAAAGGTTACATCTCAAGTGTTGTGAGGATTGAATTAGATAATACATGTGAAGTTGCTTTGTGAGTTATACATCACGAAATAAATGTTAGATGTGATAATTACCAGGCCAACTTTATCACCTAGGAAATGCTCCACTATAATCTTCAACAGCTTTATTCTTACTTTCCTGGGTCTTGAAGTCTCAAGACGTAGCCCTATCATACCTGAGCTTATTCGCATTAGTAACATGGCCTGCTGTCTCCATGTCAGGTCGACTGGGTCCCCTCTGGCCCTTGGAACACAACACTCTAATTTTTTATTTTTTTTTTTTGCGGTACGCGGGCCTCTCACTGTTGTGGCCTCTCCCGTTGCGGAGCACAGGCTCCGGACGCGCAGGCTCAGCGGCCATGGCTCACGGGCACAGCCGCTCCGCGGCACGTGGGATCTTCCCGGACCGGGGCACGAACCCGTGTCCCCTGCATCGGCAGGCGGACTCCCAACCACTGCGCCACCAGGGAAGCCCCAACACTCTAATTTCTGCTTCCTGTTTTTGCTGGTCTTTCCCCTCTTTCCCCTTCTCCAGCCCTGCCCTCCCAGTCCCCTGCCTGAACTGGATTCTCTTTACAGAGCTCCTCTTTTTTAAAAATTGAAGTATAATTGACATACAATATTATATTAGTTTCAGGTGTACAACATAGTGATTTGACATCTTATATACATTATGAGATGATCAACGTAAGTTTAGTTACCATCTGTTAGCATTTAAAGTTATTACAACATTATTGACTATATTCCCTATTCTGTATATTATATCCCCATGACTTATTTATTTTATAACTGGAAGTTTAGGCCTCTTAATCCCCTTCACCTATTTCACCCATCCTTCTATCCCCTGCCAACCACCAGTTTGTTCTTCGTATCTATGAGTCTGCTTCTGTTTTGTTATGTTCATTTGTTTTTTAGATTCTACATGTAAGTGAAATCATGCAATACTTTTCTTTGACTTAATTCACTTAGCATAATACCTTCTAAGTCCATCCACGTTGTCACAAATGAAAGATTTCATTGTTATGGATAATATTCATATATACATACATGTGCATACACACACACACACACACACACACACACACATATACCTCACATTTTCTTTATTGATGGGCTTAGGTTGCTTCCATATCTTGGCTATTGTAAATAATGCTACAGTGAACACAGGGGTGCATATATCTTTTCGAATTAGTGTTGTTGTTGTTGTTGTTTTTGAATAAATACCCAGGAGTGGAATTGTTCAGTCGTGTGCTAGTTATATTTTTAATTTTTTGAGGAACCTCCATACTGCTTTCCATAGTGGCTGCACCAATTTACATTCCCACCAACAGTGAAAGAGGGTTTCTTTTTTTCCCACACCTTCACCAGTGTTATTTTTTGTCCTTTTGATAATAGTCATTCTGACAGGTATGAGGTGATGTTCTGGTTTTGAATTGCATTTCCCTGGTGATTAGTAATGATGAGCATTTTTTCATGTGCCTGTTGGCCGTCGGTATGTCTCCTTTAGAAAAATGTCTTTTCTAGGTCCTCTGCCCATTTTTCAATTGGATTGTTTCTTTTTTTGATGTTTCCTTTTTAAGTTGTATGAGTTATTTTTATATTCTGGATATTAACCTCTATTGGATACATAATTTACAAGTATCTTCTCCCATTCAATAGATTATCTTTCCATTTTATTGCAGGATTCCTTCACTGTGCAAAAACATTTTAGTTTGATGTAGTCCCACTTGTTTATTTTTGCTTTTGTTGTCCTTGCCTGAGGAGATGGATCCATAAAGGTATCGCTAAGATCAAAGTCAAAGAGCTGACTGCCTGTGCTTTCTTCTAGAAGTTTTATGGTTTCAGGTCTTACATTCAAATTTTTAATCCATTTTAACTTTATTGTCATATGCGGTGTAAGGTAGTGGTCCAGATTCATTCTTTTGCATGTAACTGTCCAGTTTTTCCAACACTGCTTATTGAAGAGATTCTTTTCCACTTTGTATATTCTTGTCTTCTCTGTTGTAGATCAATTTACCATAAGTGTGTGGATTTTTTTCTGGCCTCTCTATTCTGTTCCATTGATCTATGTATCTGTTTTTGTTCCAGTAACAACTGTTTTGAATACTATAACTCTGTGATATAGTTTGAAGTCAGAAAAACTGATACCTCCAGTTTTGTTCTTTTAAAGATTACTTTGGCTATTTGGGGTCTTTCGTGGTTCCACACAAATTGTAGGATTCTAGTTCTGTGAAAAATGCTATTGGTATTTTAATAGGGATTACACTGAATTTGTATATCGCTTTGGGTAGTAGCATAGACACTTTAACAACATGAATTCTTCCAATCCATGAGCACAGTATACCTTTCCAGTTAATTGTGTTACATTTACGTCTTTCATCGATGTCTTACAGTTTTCAGAGTGCAGGTCTTTCACTTCCTTGGTTAAACTTATTCCTAAGTATTTTATTCTTTTAGATGCAATTTTAAATGGGAGTTTCTTAATTTATATTTCTGATAGTTCATTATTAGTGTATTGAAATGCAACAGATTTCTATACATTAATTTTGTATCCTGCAACTTCACTGAATTCATTTATTTGAATAGTGTTTTGGTGGAGTCTTTAGCATTTCCTATATATAGTACCATGCCATCAGCAAATAGTGAGTTTTACTTCTTCCTTTCCAATTTAGATGTGTTTTATTTCTTTTTACTAATTGCTGGGGCTAGGACTTCTAATACTTGGTTCAAGAAAAGCAGCAAGAGTAGGCATCCTTGTCTTGTTCCTGATCTTAAGGAAAAGCTTTCAACTTGTCAACACTGAGTATGACATTAGCTGTGGGTTTATTACGTATGGTTGAGGTATGTTCCCTCTATACCCACTTTGCTGGGAGTTTTTTATTATTATAAATGGGTGTTAAATTTTCTCAAATGCTTTTTCTGCATCTATGGAGATAATCATGATTTTTTTTTTTTTTTTTTTTTTGCGGTACACGGGCCTCTCACTGTTGTGGCCTCTCCCGCTGTGGAGCACAGGCTCCAGACACACAGGCCCAGCGGCCATGGCTCACAGGCCCAGCCGCTCTGCGGCACGTGGGATCTTCCCGGACCTGGGCACGAACCCGCGTCCCCTGCATTGGCAGGTGGACTCTCAACCACTGCGCCACCAGGGAAGCCCTAATCATGATTTTTATCCTTTGTTAACATGGTGTATCAAATTCATTTGCAGATGTTGAACCATCTTTGTACCCCCAAAATAAATCCCACTTGGTCTGGTGTATGATTCTTTTAATGTATTGTTGAATTTGGTTTGTTCATGTTTCACTGACGATTTTTGCATCTATGTTCATCCAGGATATTGGCCTGTAATTTTCTTTTTTTGCAGTCTCTTTGTCTGGTTTTGGTATCAAGGTAATGCTGGCCTCATAGAATGAGTCTGGAATATTTTGATGAAGGATAGGTATTTACTGTTCTTTAAATGTTTGGTAGAA